GATCCATCTCTCATGGAATCGTATTAACGATGGATCCACTACTGATGATATCCTATTAGCGATGCGTCCACCTCTGATAGAATCTCAATATATTTGGATCCACATGTAACGGAAACCGTTTAGAAATGGATCGGATCCACCAAAAATAAGGTCAAATTACACATGAATCCACCTCTAATAGAATCTCAATACACATGGATCCGCCTCTAGTAGACACCGATTACATATGGATCCACCTCTAACAGAATCTTATTACATACGGATCCACCACTCATGGAATCCGGTTCGAAATGGATCCGCCTCTAATGGGATCATATTGGAAACGGGCCCACCCCGAATGGAATTCTATTACCGATGGATCCACCTCTGACAGAATCTGATCACACATGGATCGACCTGGAATTGAATCTCATTACAGATGGATCGACCTCTAACAGAATAGCACTACAGATGGGTCCACCCCAAAGAGAATCCTATTTCAGGTGGATCCGCCTTCCATAGTACCCGATTAGGAATGGATCCACCCTTGACAAAATCCTACTACAGATGGAGCCACCTCTAATAGAATCCTATGTCATGTGTATCCACCTCAAATAGAATCCCATAAGAGATGGATCCACAACTAATGGAATCCCGTTAGAGATGGATCCACCTCGAATGCATTCCTGCGACGGACGGATCCACCTCTAATAGAATCCTTCTTACAGATGGACCCACGTCCACTAGAACCCTATCAATATGGATAAACCTCTAATAGAATCCTAGGAGCGATGGACCCGCCTCCGATTGAATCCGAGTAGAGATGGATGCTTCTTGGATCCACCTATAATAGAACCCTGTTCGAGACGGTTGCATATCCAATGAACTGTTGTTAGAGATTGGTCCAAATCGAATACAATCCTATTACACATTGATCCACCTCGGATGGAATCGTTGTAAAGATAGATGCATCTCATATAGAATCCGAGAAGAGATCCACCTCTAATGGGATCTTTGTACGGATGGGTCCACCTCTGTCAGAATCCTATGGCAGATGGTCCGACCCCAAAATATTATCATATTGCATCTGGATCCACCCCTGATAGGATCCTATTAGGGATGGGTCCATCTCTAATAGAATGCGATCAGCCATGTGTCCATATCGAATGGAACCATGTTAGAAAGGGACCCACCTCTAATAGAATCCTACTACAGATGGATCCACCACTAATGGAATCCTACTAGCGACGGATCCACCTCAAATAGAATCCTACTACAGATGAACCCACCTCAAATATAATCCTAACACAGATGGATCCGCCTCTGAGATAATCCTACTACAGATAAATCCATCTCTAATGGAAACCGAATACAGCTGGATCCACAACTAATGGCATCCTATGAGAGATGGGCCCACTTCAAAGTGAAACCTATTGCAAATGGATCCACCACAAATGGAATCCCAGCAGAGATGGGTCCACGTCTAGTAGAATCCTACTACAGATGGATCCACTTCTAATTGATTACTATTAGAGATGGGCCCACCTTAGTACAGATGGATCCAACTCTAATGGAACCCGATTGCACATGGATCCACCTCCGATAGAATCCGATTCGGGATGGATCCAAGTCTACTAGAAACCAATTAGCGATGGACCCGCCCCAAATGGGATCCTATCAGAGTGAGATCCACCTCTAATGGAGTCCAATCCGATATGGGTACACCTCTACTAATAGAATCCTACTACAGATGGGTCCACCTCTAATGGGATTCGAACAGAGATGGATGCACTTCGAATGGGAACCTATTACAGATAGATCCACCTCTAATGGAAGCCGATTAGAGATGCATCCACCTCTGATAGAATCCCATTAGAGATGGATCCACCTCTAATGGGGTCCTATCACAAATGGATCCACTCTTACTAGAATCTCAATACAAATGGATTCAGCTCGAATGGAATCCGATTAGAGATCAATTCAGCTCTACTCGAATCCCATTAGAGATGGATTCACTTCTCATAGAATCCGATTAGAGATGGATTCAGCTCTAAACCTATCCAATTAGAAATGGGTTTACATGTAATGGAATCCGTGTAGAGATAGATCCACCTTTAATATAATCAAATTACATATGGATCCACCTCTAATAGAATCTCACTACAGATGGACTAAATCTAATGGAAACCTATTACATATCGATCCACCTCTACTAAATATTTGTCCATACGAGCCACCTCTAACGGGATCCGATTAGAAATTGATCCTCCTCCCTCCTCCGCTATTTTCCTCTATCCTTCTTTTCCTCTTGCTCCTCCTCCCTACTCTCCTCTCGCCCTCGTTTCCCCTCTCGTCTTGTCTCCCCTCCTCATGTTCCCGTTCTCTTCTACAAGCTGCTTCCTTTAACCAGCATTTTCGAAAACGAATATTGATTTAGAGGGTTTCCAACTTCTCCCCGCCTCTTTCTCTTTGCAGGGACGGTTAAAAATATAGAGATGAACATACAGAGAGAGAGAAGTGAGAGAGACAGAGAAGAGGTCAAAAGAAAAAACAACATAAATACATACATTGGAATAGGAGAAAAGAGATTGATAGAGAGAGAGAGAGAAAGAGAGGAAGAACTCAACGAGGACATCGAGAGGAAGAAAGAGGAAAAACGATTGAAAAACTCGGGACCCTTAAAAAATGGAGACGGCCTCCCCTCCCCTCCCCTCCCTCCCCTCCCCTCCCCTCCCCTCCCCTCCCTTCCCTCCCTCCCCCACCCTCCCCACCTCCCACCCTCCCGCCCTTCCCCCCCATCCTCCCGCCCATCCTCCCGCCCACCCTCCCCCTCCCGATTCCCGTCCTCCCCACCTCCAGCCCCTTCACCATGCCCCCCGGGCAGCAGAGCGCACGCCGGGAGGGGGGGGCGCCAGGTCCGGCGGCGCGAGGTCCCGCCCGCGCGGCCAACGGCCGGCTGCGAACGCGGAGGCGGTCGTCGTTGTCGTCGTCGTCGTCGTCGCCGCTGCCGTCGTCGTCGTCGTCGTCGTCGTCGTCGTCGTCGTCGTCGGCGTCGTCGTCCTCCTCCTCCTCCTCGTCGTCGTCGTCGTCGTCGTCGTCAGCGTCGCCCCCCGAGGTTCGAGAATCGACTCGAACACTGTTTGGGTCCACGGAGGCGCCACAGGGGACCTCAGCAGAGTCCTCTGGAGGTGGGGGGCGACGTCGGTCATATCCATCAATCTTCCTTACACATGAGTCCTCCCTGTCCAACCCCGAAGCCAGTTTTTACGGCGGGCCATTGGCACGTCCATTGGCACGTTCCGTAGCGCGTCCCCTCGGCACGTCCCGCGGTGCGTCCCCGTGGCACGTCCCCTGGCTCGTCGCCTGGCGCGTCCTGTGGGACGTTCCATGGCGTGTCCTCCTGGCATGTTCCCCTGCCAATTAGCCCTTGGGCAGCTACTGTATGCTTAGGCAGCTCGAGCTTAAGATCCAGATCAGTTCGGTCAGGACTCGGATGCACAGAGGACTCGATCCACAACACTATAGAGCACAATCGCGGCATGGCACATCGCAGTTCAGCACGGCGCAGCACAGCACAGCCCTCGGAAAGGGAACATCAAGGTCGATACACTCAGCATTGCAACCTGGCACGTTCCTTGGCACGTTCCGTGGCGCGTCCCGTGGCGAGTCCCCCTGGCACGTCGCGCGGCGCGTCCCCTGGCACGTCCCGTGGCACGTCCATTGGCACGTTCCGTAGCGCGTCGCGGTGCGCCCCCGTGGCACGTCCCCTGGCACGTCGCCTGGCGCGTCCCTTGGGACGTTCCGTGGCGCGTCCTCCTGGCATGTTCCCCTGTCAATTAGCTCTGGGGCAGCTACTATGTGCTCAGGCAGCTTAAGATCCAGATCAGTTCGGTCAGGACTCGGATGCAAAGGAGGATTCGATCCACAACACTATAGAGCACAATCGCGGCATGGCACATCGCAGTTCAGCACGGCGCAGCACAGCACAGCCCTCGGAAAGGGAACATCAAGGTCGATACACTCAGCATTGCAACCTGGCACGTTCCTTGGCACGTTCCGTGGCGCGTCCCGTGGCGAGTCCCCCTGGCACGTCGCGCGGCGCGTCCCCTGGCACGTCCCGTGGCACGTCCATGGCACGTTCCGTAGCGCGTCGCGGTGCGCCCCCGTGGCACGTCCCCTGGCACGTCGCCTGGCGCGTCCCTTGGGACGTTCCGTGGCGCGTCCTCCTGGCATGTTCCCCTGTCAATTAGCTCTGGGGCAGCTACTATGTGCTCAGGCAGTTTAAGATCCAGATCAGTTCGGTCAGGACTCGGATGCAAAGGAGGATTCGATCCACAACACTATAGAGCACAATCGCGGCATGGCCATGGCACATCGCAGTTCAGCACGGCGCTGCAGCACAGCCCTCGGCACGGTACATCAATATCGATACACTCAGCATTGCGTTTGCCCGTCGCCCAATCAGGTCTCTTTGAAACGCTGCCATGCCTTACATTTCTATCTTCCTTTCCAGGTTCGTGGGTCGATCATGCTCCAAAGCAAAACGGTGGTCTGCGGACCCCGTTATTTATCGAGGATCCGAGATGGGGGGCAAACTTTCCTCGAGCGGGCCCGCGAAAAACGCTCTTGCTCAACTGAAAATTCACACTTTAGCTCGTAATTTATCGCAGACTAATTTCGCCCGCCCTCTTCCCGTAGGGGCCGGGGGGGTGACCAACCAAAAGAGAACCCTGGGCCCGAGCCCTTTCCGGGAAAAACAGCAGGGTGGCAAAGTGGGGGGTGGGACGACGAAGAGTAAACACCTGACACATCAAGACAACCGCTGGGGACTATCTCTCGAAGCTTCCACTGAACACAGCTGATAGTCTACAACAACACATGATGATAGCCGTCATGAGGCAAAGCATTACAGCATTTGATGAGAGCACCAATCTACATACCTAAAATGCACTGTCAAGGTCCATGCGGTGGGGGTCGTAATCAGATGCGCGACGGCAACAGATGTGGATGATGGAGGTTTTTGCTGGAGGCGCCGTAGATTACGGAGGATCTGGCCAAAATCCAGGTCCAGCCGCGAGGGCGCTCACCTAATTTTATGGTATTTTATAATCCTGCACCACGGCAGGGCAGGCGGGCTCAATAACCGATTGCGGTGGAGCCCTGTCGATGCGCAGCTTGACCATCCAGACCCGCCGATAGGGACATCGTCTTCTGGCACCCTGCCTCGGGCGTCGCAGCCTCCGTGCAATCATCCTCGCCCAGCAGCCCTCCGACATGAAACCCAGCACGCCGAAGGCTCTTAAGGTAGACGTTCAGATACTGCTGCCCCTCGCCAGTGTGACAGTGGACGACTTTGAGCTCCACCGGCCCGAAGTTCACCCACATCGGCTTGTTGTCTCGCGCGCCGCGAGTGTTGAAGTGGAAGCCTCCGGGCTGCGCCTGGTCTGACCTATTCTGCAGGTGTGGGTCGCCGACGGCGGCCACCTGCGCATGCGTCGGTGCTGGCGTCGGCGACGGACCTGGCGTCGGCGTCAAACTTGGCGTCGGGCTTGGCGTCGGGCTCGGCGTCGGGCTCGGCGTCGGGTTTGGCGTCGGGCTCGGCGACGGGCTTGGCGTCGGGCTTGGCGTCGGGCTTGGCGTCGGGCTCGGCGTCGGGCTCGGCATCGGGCTCGGCGTCGGGTTTGGCGTCGGGCTTGGCGTCGGGCTTGGCGTCGGACTTGGCGTCGGGCTTGGCGTCGGGCTTGGCGTCGGACTTGGAGTCGGGCTCGGCGTCGGACTCGGCGACGGGCTTGGCGTCGGGCTCTCCGTCGGACTTAGCGTCGGACTCGGCGACGGGCTTGGCGTCGGACTTGGCGTCGGGCTTGGCGTCGGGCTTGGCGTCGGACTTGGAGTCGGGCTCGGCGTCGGGCTTGGCGTCGGACTTGGCGTCGGGCTTGACGTCGGATTTGGCGTCGGACTTGGCGTCGCCTTTGGTGGAGCTCACAATGGGGCCACGAAACGTGTGAGGGGTGTGCCGAAATAGGGGTGGAACCGCATGCGAGCCGTGCCACTGGGGCCTTCTGTGGAGCTCACAATGGGGCCAAGAAACGTGTGAGGAGTGTGCCGAAATAAGGGGTGGAACTGCATGCGAACCATGCCACTAGGGCGTCGGGTGGAGCTCCCTATGGGGCCACGAAACGTGTGAGGGGTGTGACGACATGGGTGGGAACCGCATACGAACCCTGCCACTGGGGCCTTCGGTGGAGCTCCCAGTGGGGCCACGAAACGTGCAAGGGGTGCAAGGGATGGAAGGAGGGAGGAGGGGGAGGAGGAAGGAGTCAGTGACGCGGGGCGCCGTCTCTTCAAAACGCGGATCCAACACCACATTATAATCAGGAAAAAGACGAGGTTCCAGCTCGGGACCACCATGTTCAATACCCCAGTTGGAAATCTCGAAAATCATCAGCCGAAGAAACTGTCTCAGGTTATTACACATCTGAGATGTGTGGTTTTTGGATGGTTCTCGTGGGCCTCCACGCTGGAGGCGCCCACTCGACCACATGTTAGATCCACCCCTGGGGTGGCCCGTACACGTAAAGTAGCCTGGCGAAGGACACAACCAAGATGCAGTTGTGGGCAACGCAGTTGTGAGTATCGTCTTCGGTAGAACTCCCCACAGGGCCACGAAACGCGTGAGGAATGATTCGAAACGGGTGCAGTGAGCGCATGCGAACGCAGCCCCTGAAATCTTCGGTGGAGTTCCCATTGGGGGCACGAAACGTGTGAGGGATATGCCGACATGGGTGGGGGTGGACGCATGCGAGCACGGCCACTGGGGCCTTCCGGTGGAGATGGGGCCGCGAGGCGTGTGGGGGGATGTACTGGAATGGAGGTGGTCCTGCATGCGGACCCTGCCACTGGGGCCTTCAGCGGAGCACCCTATGGGGCCACGAAACGTGTGAGGAGTGTGCCGAAATGGAGGTGGTCCTGCATGCGGACCCTGTCACTGGGGCCTTCAGCGGAGCACCCTATGGGGCCACGAAGCGTGTGAGGAGTGCACCGAAAGGGAGGTGGTCCTGCATGCGGACCCTGTCACTGGGGCCTTCAGCGGAGCACCCTTTGGGGCCACGAAGCGTGTGAGGAGTGCACCGAAAGGGAGGTGGTCCTGCATGCGGACCCTGCCACTGGGGCCTTCGGTGGCGCACCCTTATGGGGCCACGAAACGTGATAGGAGTGCGCCGAAAGAGAGGTGGAACTGCATGCGGACCCTGCCACTCGGGCCTTCAGTGGAGCACCATCTGGGGCCACGAAACGTGTGAGGGGTGTGGCGAAATGGAGGTGGAACTGCATGCGGACCCTACCCTGCCACCGGGGCCTTCGGTGGAGCACCCTTATGGGGCTACAAAACGTGTGAGTGTGCCGAAAAGGGGAGTGAAACTACATGCGGACCCTGCCACTGGGGCCTTCGGTGGAGCACACTCTGGGGCCACGAAACGTGTGAGGGGTGCGCCGACATGGACGTGGAACTGCATGCGGACACTGCCACTGGGGCCTTCGGTGGAGCTCCCGATGAGGCCAAGAAATGTGTGAGGGGTGCGCCGAAATGGAAGTGGAACTGCATGCGGACCCTGCCCTGGGGGCCTTCGGTGGAGCACCCTGTGGAGCCACGAAATTTGTGAGGGGTGCGAGGGATTTGAGGTGGAACTGTATGTCGACCCTGCCATTGGGGCCTCTGGCTCAGCACTCTAGATAGGCCACGGAACGTGTGAGGGGTGCGCCGAAATTGAGGTGGTTTGGATGCGCGCATATGACGGACGGCAGGGGCAAGGGAAGGGATTGGAGGAGAGAGGAAGGAGGCGGGCGGAAGGAGGTGACGCGGGGCGCTGTCTCTTCAAAACAGGACCCATCACCACAGGATGGTGGGGAACATGATCTACCCACGAACCCGGAAAGGACTATACAAATGTAAGGCATGGCAACGTTTCAAAGACACCTGATTGGGCGACGGGCATACGGAATGCTGAGTGTATCGATCTTGATGTACCGTGCCGAGGGCTGTGCTGTGCAGCGCCGTGCTGAATTGCGATGTGTCCTGTCGCGATTGTGCTCTATAGCGTTGTGAATCGAATCCTCCTTTGCATTCGAGTCCTGACCGAACTGATCTGGATCTTAAGCTCGAGCTGCCTCAGCACATAGTAGCTGCCCCAGAACTTATCGACAGGGGAACATGCCAGGAGGACGCGCCGCGGAACGTCCCAAGGGACGCGCCAGGCGACGTGCCAGGGGACGTGCCACGGGGACGCACCGCGGGACGTGCCGAAGGGAACGCGCTATGGAACGTGCCAATGGACGTGCCACGGGACGTGCCAAGGGACGCGCCGCGCGACGTGCCAGGGAGACTCGCCACGGGACGCCCCACGGAACGTGCCAGGTTGCAATGCTGAGTGTATCGATCTTGATGTACCGTGCCGAGTGCCGTGCTGTGCAGCGCCGTGCTGAATTGCGATGTGTCATGCCGCGATTGTGCTCTATAGCGTTGTGGATCGAGTCCTCCTTTGCATCCGAGTCCTGACCGAACTGATCTGGATCTTAAGCTCGAGCTGCCTCAGCACATAGTAGCTGCCCCAGAGCTAATTGACAGGGGAACATGCCAGGAGGACGCGCCGCGGAACGTCCCACAGGACGCGCCAGGCGACGTGCCAGGGGACGTGCCACGGGGACGCACCGCGGGACGTGCCGAGGGGACGCGCTACGGAACGTTAAAATGCGTGGTCCTTACTCGGGACAACCATGTTAGATATCCCCCTGGATGGCCTGGACACCTAAAAACACACATGGTGCCAGCTCGGGAAACCATGCTATATACACCCCTGAATAGCCTGGACTCGTTACAATACGTGATCCTTGCTCATAACTATCATGTTAGATACCCCCTGGGTGGCCTGGATACGTAAAAAACATGGCTAAAGCTCGGGACCACCATGTTAGATACCCCTCTGGGTGGCCTGCACATGTAAAAACACGTGGTCCAGCCCACCCAGGGGGGATCTCTAACATGCGGTCGTCTCAAGCGCAGGAGGGCCCAGGAACGCCAAAGGCGCCTGGAGGCAAAAAAGTAAACGAATCGATACCAAATACGAATAAACTCCCGACGCTCCGTTCCGAGTCCCAGGAAGGATCCAGGATGCCCATGTTGGATACCCCCTGAGTGGCCTGGACACGTGAAAGCACGTGGTTCCAGCTCGGGACCACCATGTTAGATACCCCCCTGGGTGGCGTGGACACGTGAAAACACGCGGTTCCAGCGCGGGGCCACCATGTTAGATACTCACCTGGGTGGCCTGCACACGTGAAAGCACGTGGTTCCAGCGCGGGACCACCATGTTAGATACCCCCTGGGTGGCCTGGGCACGTGAAAACACGTGGTTCCAGCTCGGGACCACCATGTTAGATACATCATGGGTGCCTTGGACTCGTAAAAGCACGTGGTTCCAGCTCAGGACCACCATGTTAGATACCCCCGGGGTGGCGTTGACACGTGAAAACACGCGGTTCCGACGCGGGGCCACCATGTTAGATACACCCTCCGGGCGACCTGGGCACGTGAAAACACGTGGTTCCAGCATGACAACCATCTTAGACACCCCCTGGGTGGCCTCGACAGGTGAAACACGTGGTTCCGGATCGGAACCAACATGTTAGATACCCACCTGGGTGGCCTGTACACGTGAAAACACGTGGCTCCAGCGCGGGACCACCATGTTAGATACCCGCCTGTGTGGCCAGGACACGGGAAAACGTAGTACCAGCTCGGGACCACCATGTTAGAAACCCACCTGGGTGCCCTGGACACGTGAAGCGACGTAGTTCCAGCTCGGGCAGAACATGTTAGATACCCCCCTGTGTGGCCAAGGAAATCCTGGACAAAAAAAACTAATTAGTCGAGACAACCTCGAAATTCCTGCGCGCAGGACGCGGCACGCGCGAGACATCCTCGGAAATTCTGCGCGCGGGACGTGAAAACAAGCATTTCGCCTCAGACATCATATGAATTCTGGCCCCCCACGAGGCCTCCGCTCGAGACATCCCCAAAATCAGCGTTTCGCTCGAGACATCCTCAACAAATTCTGAAAAACAAGCCTTTCGCTCGAGACATCCTCAGATAGTCATTCGCTGGCCCTGCGCGACCCCGTTATTTATCGCAAAAGAAATTCGCTGGCCCTACAGCCGTCAAAACCGGAGGGGGAAACAAACCAAAAGAGAACACTGGGCTTACGCCCTTTCCGGGAAAAACACATGGTTCAAGCTCGGGGCCACCATGTTAGATACCCATCTGGGTGGCCTGGACACGTGAAAACACTTGGTTCCAGCTCGGGGCCACCATGTTAGATACCCCACTGGGTGGCCTGGACTCGTAAAAACACATAGCTCCAGCTGGGAACCACCATGTTGGATGCTCACGTTGGCGGCCAAAGCACGTGAAAAACTTGATCGACCCATGAACCCGGAAAGGAATATAGAAATGTAAGGCATGGCAACGTTTCAAAGACACCTGATTGGGCGACGGGCAAATGCAATGCTGAATGTACCGATCTTGATGTACTGTGCCGAGGGCTGTGCTGTGCTACGCCGTGCTGAACTGCGATGTGCCATGCCGCGACTGTGCTCACTATAGCGTTGTGGATCGAGTCCTCCCTGGCATCTGGATCTTAAGCTCGAGCTGCCTGAGCAGATGGTAGCTGCCCCAGAACTAATCGACAGAGGGGACATGCCAGGAGGACGCGCCGCGGAACGTCCCAAGGGACGCGCCAGGCGACGTGCCAGGGGACGTGCCATGGGGACGCACCGCGGGACGTGCCAAGGGGACGCGCTACGGAACGTGCCAATGGACGTGTTGCGGGACGCGCCAGGGGACGCGCCGCGCAACGTGCCAGGTGGACTCGCCACAGAACGCGACAAGGAACGTGCCAAGGTGCAATGTTGAGTGG